GAAGATTTTCGTGTAATTAAAATGTCAAACAACAAGTGCTCTAATAATTGGTAAAACTTGAAATATATGAATAAATACCGAACAGAATACAGAGAAATCAATCAAATCATAATTTCTTGCCGTAATTTTCATTATTTGAATACAAAACAAAATATAATTTTTCTTGAAGTAAAACCTTAACTACAAAACCGGATGGAAATTAGACTTCTCTAACGGACCATTGATTTGAAAGATCATTAGAAACAAAGGACATTACTTCAAGTGATGATGAGTAATTATGCAAGTGTGCCGTCTGAGAACGGAATTGAATTTTTCTAATCTAACATATTAAGCACATGATGATCTAAAGCAGGGAGAAAGTTTGCCTGCATTAGTTAGGGCTTTTTTTACGAATTTGTCCTGGCAAATGTGAATAGATTGGGACGTGATCGATGGATAAATAGTTAATCTAAAAAAGATACTTACAATCCAACCTCCCTGTAGGCCCATCCAACGTGATTCATCCTTCTTCATATCACAGTAGACCTGCAAGCCATTTTGATACTGCATTGGGTAGATGGTGTATACGTCGCTGGTATTGTACCCTGCGTCTAACCACTCTTGGCAGTTAGTAATATCTATAGAGAAGTAAGTTGGTAAGAAACGTACTAATTAAACCGTTTAATACATGGCGACCTTTGTTTTTTTAGGAAGTCTTATAGAATGTGCGATTTGCAATACAGCTCCACTTGTGTGGCACCTAAACCAAGATTCATAATTTTATTAGGACAGTCCCCTCCAGCTAGCCATTGGAGTGAGGGCAAATGTTTTGTTTCATAGTCTATACGATTTGGACTTTCCATTTTGTACTTTTCCGTAATCTGAAAACCAGATTTGACCCAGAAAGCCGAAAACGGAACTCTTGCTTTAGAAAAAAACCCAAACAAACAGAATTTAATGTCAGCTTTTGCAACACCCGTGTATTTCATCTTTCGGTCCAATTTATTGGGATAGTTGACATGGTGTGTTGATAAACCAAATCAAAGGACAAGATGAACCGAGTCAACTGTTTGTGAAAAATGCGGAAACAGAATATAAGTTTTTCTGACCAATTTCAGCAAAAAGCCGTTCAATTTAACACAAGGCCCATTTATATTTGTAGTTAAAAGAATGATCCTTGATATGAACATTCAGTAATCATCGAATCATTCGTCAATGAATATTTGTTCGGGAAATATGTTACTCCAAATTCCAAGCGTAGGTTCGTTTGCTCATGTTCGTCAAAGGGCTTAGAAAGACATTTGCTTTAGTCGATATGCAATTGTTTTGACATTTGAGAATTCAAATTCGTTCAAGTGATAAACGTTTTCTGAATCCTATATAAAATCTGATTTTCCAAGCAAACAAAATAATAATAAGGATTTTGTCGTCATCTAAGCAACGAATAAGTATGAAATATGAAATTAATTGAAATAATTGACAATATTGCAATTAGATAAAAATATAACAGCATATGTTAAAATATTGTAACGAACCGAGCAGTAAGGACACATGGAAGTGGGGTGCCCCCAGAAAGGCAGCAACGTAATTCAAAATATAATTTACTAAAGGGCAAAAAACTAGGTGTTCACGAACAAAAAGTGCATACATTCACACAGGAATTCCAGAGGGCCTCAAACAAAGTAACAATTTAATTAATCAACACTTAAAACTTGCAAAGAAAGAAAAGGCGGGGATGCTTGTTAAATTGTACAATAATTATGCACGAAGCATTAGGGCGTGGCCCTACACAAATTACATGACTATGGATGAAAATTAACAAGATTAACGGAAGACAGACAGATCCAACGAAGTGGTGCGAGGGGCTGGAGCTAAAAGCACAAATTTGCTTGAACAAGAACAAAATACAAACCAACTTAAGTTTGGGGGAGAAGCAAAATTACAGAGACTTATCTGCTTAACGAAGAAAACCAAAGACTGCCAAAAAAAATGAACTCCACCAACCACTGCCAGTTAATAAGAGGCAGAAGGACCACACCCCGAATTAAGGCCACCGATATTTATACCCTCATACAGTCTGCCTGGGTGGTTCTCAATGAACACTACGTGAGAACTATGTTCATGTGCAACAAAAGACAGTGTCCAACCTCAGTGCACAGCTGCACCCGCCTGCAATAACTTTTGTAGACACTTGGCGCCAAACATGTCTCACCAAGAGTAGGGAGCTTGAGTACAACAATTAAATTAACTCAGTTTGGTACAAATATCAAAAGGTTATACATACTTATACGAACAAATGAACAATAAACGGGAAAATACAAGGTTAAAAATGACTGGATGAAGAATAAAAGAAACAGAGAAGATGAGGGAAGATTGGATGTCAGACCACCGAAGGCCAAGACCTCAAACCAAAACCCATCCATTACAATGAAAAACGACGCAAGCAGACACCAGGGCCAAGCTATGCGTACAGACAGACAGACAGACAGACAGATAAGACCAGAATTGGAGAGGAGGGAAGACTACAAAAACACCCAAAATGGGATGAAGCGAAACAATGACATGAGCAGAAATGACCAGATCGACCTGCCAGAAAACAACCAAATAGAGAGTAGGAAAGCAACTTGTTAGAAAACAAAGCGTGCTCTTTAAGTGACCCTAAAAGTCTTTTGAGGGCCATTAGAATCAAGGAATTATGAAGTTCAGCAGGTAATTTTGACCAAAGCTGGGGAAACTAATGAATTGCCGATTGATGTAGAGCCTGAGTTCTAGCAAAGAAATGTGTAAAAGTTGAAACGTCAAAGTGTCTGTCATTTACCAATGTGTGTTTGACTACATGACAATTGACAACATCAAACTGCTTAAGAAAAGCAGATTAACGCTTCTCGGGGCAATGACCTGCAGAAAGACCTGTAAACTTGTTTGTTATATTTTGTTTTCTTTTCATGTTTTAATGTTAATTGTGATTTTATTTCCCTGAACTTTTGTTAGCTTGAAATGATCCGAATAATCAGACATGTTTTGAACTGCATAGCACAAAATGAACACCAACAGTGTGTACAACAAAGAGCTAAACAGAACTTCTTGATTTGACTCACGAAATATGGGTAGATATAAAAAACAGTGGATACAAAGAATCATTCAAAATCATCAAACTAATGATCATGGGGCAGGATTAACATTAACGACGGCATTAACTTCTCCCATAACTCCTAAATCGAACACTTAGAACTCGAAATTGATTTATTAAATATACGGAAAAAGGAAATTACGCGCAGGTGAAAGATCCAATACACGTCGATGAGTGTTAATTTGAGTAAATCTATCATAAAAAGACAGCATATACTTCACTGAAGAAATGTATTAGTGATGTTTTGAATGTCCATAAACGTATTGCAACCACAGAAACGAAATTGAATGATTAAGCTTGAAACATTGCTGCCACGAAACCGAATTTGAAAAGAAAAAAAAAACCGAACCAAACCGAACCGTAGCCGTCGCACGAATGTGAATGCCTGGTCACGAAAATTAGCGTGGTCTAAATTAAAATTAAACAACAATTTTTTTTCAAATTAAAAAAACAAAATGAAACAAGAATGAAAAACATTGAAAATAATGCAGAAAGGATGTCTGCTTGTTACGCCCGAACTACGACTGCAATATATGGAAATGTTACCGAAGAATAAGAAAGTAAGCTCTCTTCCTTTGTTGTTCAAATGATATCTGTGTTTGTGTTTCGTTTCTAGTCAATCATATTCCCTTTTCTCGAGATTTTCGCAAAAAATGAAATATGCAAGTACTTCAGTGATTAATATATGCATAATTAAAACGTTTAACAGGATGGTTGCTTGTGGCACTCGGTTGCTCAGTGGTCGCACTAGTCTCATCAGATGATGTAACTAGATGAGAAAGCATATCGATGTAGACATAAATAAAAGTAAGCTATTCAATTTGACGCCAGGAATAGGATAAGATTCTGTTAAATACAACATGACACAACGTTATGAAGCGATCTCTTCTTTTCCTGTACCGTTATCTGCTCGCCGATGTTTCATCGCAAGTGCATTTCATTGAATTACATTCCAACACAAACCCATATCAGGTCTACATGGACAGCTGCTGCTTTATCATATCTTTTAAACCATTCACTTTGCATTTCCACTGCTCTGCAATCCTGGACAAATCTTGTTGGAACATGCCTCCCCCTCGTCCCCTGTTAATGTTGTGTGTCATTGGGTAAGCCGGGCCGATTCTTGGTCCAATAAATGACCAATAAAAGATCCCCCCTCTCCCCCTTTTAACAAAGGGGGAGAGGGGGGATCTTTTCACCGCGCTCTCCACATGATGTTCCAACTATTTTGTCCAGGATTGTAGGTTAAAATTGACCCAACGCCATCAAATTAAGTGGGTCTTGGCCGCGGTATATATGTTTTTACGGGACTTGTAGTTTATACATGAATAATATACATACCGTTTTCCCACATTTAGTAAATGTGGCTCGAAATACGATTCGAAATTCAAATTTATTATTGTCCATGCAAAAATTCACATAAAAATATACTTTCCATTGGCTTGTTGCAAGAGTACATTATTGCATTCATCGATATTACAGTCACAAATTGGGTTAGTGTTTCTACATTCAATAGTGTATAACGAAAAAGGAACAGGTGATAACAGGTATCCATGAGGAGCACCAATATTCGTGGTCATTTATTGGGATTGTTGACTTCCAGCTCTAACTGATTGAATCCGGTAGCTGAGAAAATTTTAGATACAAAGAACCAGCCTAGGGTTAACAAGCACCTTCGACTGAACAGGAATGCGATTCATCAGTGTTTGGAGCAGTGTTTCTAGACTTATTATAGTTCTGTCAATTTTATTCGAATCTTCCAGCGGTTATACTCATCATAACGCCTATGAAAACTGTTTTTGGCTTCAAACTGGCGCGGCTGCTACTATTGTAAATCAACATACATGTATTTGCTGTTCGGTACCTATTATAACTACGGAAGCGTATAAGAGCCACTTTCAAAATTTTATTTTCGAGTTAGTCTCTTGCCACAGACGAGTTACTGTTTTGCCGCGGCGGGTTAAATTGTCGAATGTGTATCTCGCCGCGGCGAATTATACGATCTTGCCACGGCGTCAAATTGATATCCCGCTGCAGCGAATATTTCATTAGTTGCATAAGTCCTATTCAGCGCGCCGTTTTCAAATGTATCTTTAGGGTGAAATGCAGTGCTACGTGGTTTTAGATCGTTAACTGGAACAAAAGCAGTGTTGTAGTCGAGTACCTTCCGAGTGCCAACGTTCTCCACAAAATACTGAACTGGGT